CACGCGAAAAGCTAGGGTTCGAATCCTGGGAGTGACGTGTCTTTTGTTTATTCCTGCAATTTAGTGTTCTGGAGAATTCGAGAATCATGTTACTTGTTCCAGGCCCGAATGTTCTACGCGTCGAAGTTTCTACGCTGATTATTCCAGAAGACCACTCGTATATAAGGGGCTCCGCGTGGCGAGCCACAGTCAGTTTCGCCCCAGCGTTCGACTGTGCTGCTACGCCGACTTCGACGCCCGCGACGCTCTGTTATTATCTTTTGTACCCTTTTATTTTTGGCACAAGTTCGCCACATTAAACGTTTATTTATTCTTGTTTATTTTCTGTTTTTTTGGTCACCACCCGTGACAATATTTTAATGCTGTTCAGTCATTTACCCAGAAAACAATCACTCTCGGGGTGGAGACAACAGGACGTTGCAAACGACAGTTACATTGGCCACTGTACGATAGAAGCTACGGTTCAGACCGGCGTTCTAACATGGCTATACGCAGGTTGATCGATTTCACCGGAATGACTCAAGCGGTCTTAAACTATTTACTGTAAAGCTGAATGTCAACCTGCGACACTCCGCCCCCTCCGATCACGGCCCGACCAGCGGCATCAATGCCCAACAATTGGCGTCATCTCATATTGGTGTCGCACCACTGATACGCGAACACACGGTTGCATTGACGACAATTCCAATCTTCGTTCACAACGCACAACACTGCCATCGCGATGCTTCTGCTATGTTGCTAGCGCGCAGAAACACAAAACCACATTGATTGCCTGGTAGCACTCGGCAGCAGAAAACAAAACCGAACTCAGCAAAGACACGCAAGCACCCGGCAGCAAAACCTGCCTGCCTTGGACACAGTTACCGCGGTTTTCATAACGTCGTCAACGTTGACACGATAAAATGAGGTCGACACCTGATTCCGCAATACGGAGGCGTCCATCTAGCCCAGTGTACGTTGCGCTGCTGGCACTGCTCCGGAACTTCTCTGTTTTTAACGAATTCGTTCGCTCGTTTGACAAAATTAGTCATAGAAATGTCAAGGCAAACAAAATGGTCTGCACCTTTGGGCTGAGAGACGGAATGGCAAGCGGCCTTTGCCGCCCGCGGGATCTCTATTAACTAAATAACATTTATTAAACAACGCGCGTCGCGGAACCCTTTTCCCGTCTGCCTGGAGAAGGGGAAAAATATCTCGTTCCTCCCATCTTCTCATGTCGGCTTTGGAGCGCGTCACTAGAAGGGATGAAAACGCGCCTCTTTCAAAGTGTATGCTCTAATCCCCCCCCCCCCCCCCCCCCCCGCCGCCTCCCCTTTTCGTTCTTTCGACGCGCAGAACCCGCAAGTGGCACGGAATCATGGAAGCCGCGCGCTAAAGTGAAGAACTAAACAAAAAAAGGAGCATAGAAAAGGAAATGAACTCTCCAGATCAATATCAAGTGGGTGCAATTAGCGGAGAACTTAATCCCCTTCGCCTTCCAAGCATCCTGTGGTGCGCAGGCTGCGAAAGGCGGAATTCTCGACGCCTCTTCTAGACAAGATGAGCGGCAGAGAAAGAGAGCTCAACGCCTCTGTCGTGAATGGCACTAGCGTCCGCCTTCCGAGACAAAAGGCCTGCCTCCTATAGGTTTCGCCCGCGTTCCCGAATCTCGAAGCGGGCTGCTCGAAAATAGAGCCTGAGCGACGCCGTTCCGACACTTCGAAGAAAGGATCGGCGACGAGAAGGGAAGGAGACGACGAGAAGGAACCATCTTCGTGTCTCTTCTCCGCTCCGCCGGAAAAGGCTTTCTCTGCAAATCTCGTTACAGCGGCAAATTAGAAAACAGCCTGTCCCAACTCTCGCTCCGGGAGTCGGGGGCGCTGTAAACAGGAGTTTCTCAATGCGCTCGGCTCCCGTAGAGTGGAAGCCCAAAAGCGCCGCCGCCGCCGTCGTCGTCGTCGTCGTCGTCTTGGTTGGAGCAGACGCTTGTGGGGAGGTAGAGCCTTAGTCTAAAAAAGGGAGCAACGCAAACCATGGAAAGCGTTCGAAATATAATGGCGGAATCTTGGGGCGCAAATTGGTTGCTCGTGCGCATGCATAAACCAACGAGAAGGTTAACGGGTAGAGAGGCTAAGCCAAGGGTGGCGACTCTTCCAGACGATCGACGCGTTCTCCGCCTCCTCAGAACCTGGATTCCAAATAAATACATAAATAAAAACGCGTCCCATAAACCACGTGACCCCGAGCAAGTAGTTGGAAACACTCTGAAATCTAGGCATACTGGTGGGAATCGAGGACGCGACGTCGTCGAGGGCTGGCTTAGGCGGCCACGTAAGCCGATTGATCGGAGTAAACTTTTCGATCGAGACGTTTCGGGATCCTTGAATTTAGCGAGCAATGCCCTTGAAGGCGCGAAAGGAAACCGTGGTCTTGAGGTGTGGAGGCTTTCCGGGAACGGCGCTGTAAGCAATGACAGGATGGCTGTGATTGAGCTTGTCGAGTATACCTTTAACGCGAATTTTACTCTTCTTTCTGATGGAACTAAAGTTACGGAACTAGATCACTCTGCGATTCGTTCCTACTGGAACACGTGAAAATGGAGAAGGCAAAGAGTAACGGCCTCGTTACTCCATGAGAATCTCGCGTGATCGGAAATCGTTTACAAGTCGCACAGCCTCTTGCCAAAATGTGACGGTGAAATTCCTTAGATTTATTATAATATAACATAAATCATTTTCTCAATTTTTTTTTTTAAAGCAAAGAAAAAAGTGAAAGCCGTTTACAACTCCCTGTAACGCCGAATTGGAGCGCAGCTCTTGAGGGGGAGGAGGGAAGGGTACTGAGGGGAGGGTAGACCCCTCCTCCTCCTCCTCCTTCTCCTCCTCCTCCCCTCATTCTTTAATATGCTCCGGGGGAGTCACCTGACTTCGGGGGGAGGGGGTCACGTGACCTCAGGGAGGGGGCCACGTGACCTGGGGTCCACGTGATCTCGGGGGTCACGTGACCTTGGGAGGGATCACGTGACCTTGTGGTGACCTTGGGAGGGGTCACGTGACCTTGGGGTGACCTTGAGAGGGGTAACGTAACCTTGGGGGGTCACGTGTCCTGGGGGTCACGTGACCTTGGGGCGACCTTGGTTACGCCGACGGCGACGGCGACGGCGACGGCGACGACGACGGCGACGCCGACGCCGCTCAAGCCGGAAACGGGCGCCTAAGAGCTGCGCTCTAAAAGACAAAACACAACAACTTGGCTTTTGCTGCACGTGACACAAGCTTGGAGGTAAAGGTAAAACAGAGCAACAGTAAAAGGAAAGGGTATTCACTTCACGCCCTTTTACTCAGCTAATAGACGTAGACAAAAAACGCTAGGAATGGGGAATCTAGTGCACCTTCTTCTTATATCGCAGCAATCAGACTGTTTCACTGCCCAACTGAAACGTCGACGCACGAAGTCCGCAAGCAGGAAGTGGAACGTTATGAGCCCCGTCCTCCGTTCCTTAAGCTGTCAATGTCCACACCAAGGCATCTTTCCCGATCCCGCATGGAAGTCCTGCCTCCAGGGCCGATTGAAGCAGCGCGCACGACCCGAACCCCGGAGGCGCGAGGGAGTCCGCGCTCATCTAATTAGGTATTCGGGAGTCGCATAGTTTGTCGACGAAGGAGGCGACAGGATGATTGATCCTCCGAGGCCTTCGTGAAGTCGCGTCGCTCCCGCATTAAACGGCTCAGCGGCTCCGCGTGGACGCCTGCAGGGTTGATGCGATAATTTACAGGATGCCATAGTTGGAGTCCCACAACAGCCGAGGCCCGTTCATGCGTGGCGTGTGTTGAATCGAGTCACGTCGGCGAAGATCCTATACTATATTGTACTAGTCGAGCCTTCGAAGGAATATATATTTTATTCGGGCGGGTTGCATTTGCCGACGAAGACGAATAAACATAGCGACAAAATGCTAATGAGATGAATATAAAAATAAACTATATCATTGGCCTTTGAAACTACAGTGACAACGAAGGCGGGCTGGTAAATTGCATACATAAGTAAGATCTGAGACCCCCAAAAATGAAAAGAAGTATCATAAAAATGGACAGACACACCATATTTCACATTCGGCATGCGAAGATTCTTCTTTTTCAATTTGTGTAATTTCTTCTTGCTTTGATATCAGGTTATAGTCATATTCCTAGTAGGTGTTGCCGTCCTTCAACTACTACTTTATAGCAAAAACAAAAATGCGAGGTTCTTTTTCCTATGTACTACATTCCCGTATCGGCAGAAGGTATGCGATGCACTCACAATATAGCTAGGCTCTTCATGTAATAAGCATGAGTAGAAATTTTCCAGATTCGAGTTAATATCTCTGACCAACATATTGTCGTTATTATCCAAGGATTCGGTAGAAAGTTTCAAAATAAAAACTTCCGCATTACAAAAGACTGGTTATCTCTTTATTACCGGTGGCCTTTATATTAAAACAAAACATATTAATACGGTTTTTATTTCTTCAAATACCAGGTATACGTGTATATACGGAGATGCATTAATAAATTAAAGCGTAAATGCAGTGACCAGAGTTATCAATTAACTAGAAATACATGCACTCACATTTTGCTTTTGAAAATGTGAGGATGAAGCATACATCACTATGGACCCTTTTTTCTAATTATTTCATTTTCATCGTATTATTTCCACAGATGCCGACAGTCAGTATTTTGAAAAAAACATTTTTGTTTCCGGATTCAGCTTTAGACATAAAAAGTACAAAGCGAATACATAATATACCCCTCCCTCGCTGTACGACGCAAGATGTTCAGCCATATAATTAAGGGTGGAAGTCAGGGTTTAAGCTTTCGGTCAGCTAGTATTAGACTTAAAAATTGGAGGAGGTCACGAAGGCACAAGATCGTCGATGGAGACTTTGCTGTGGGGCGTAATAATTAAGTGAACGTTTTGCAACCAATGTTTCAAGAAAGACCTCGTTTTGTCAGAGCGATGTTGCTGTATGAACGTAAATTTACCTGAAGACTTCCTTTGGGGCAGTACTCTTTGACGAGGCAGCAGTGTGGAGGATCAATGCAGGCTCCGATGAAGCGAACAATATGATCGTGTTGAAGGTCCTTCATCTGAAATAAGAAACAAGAGTAGCTCGAATGTAGTGAACCTTGATCTTTGACATAATAACATAAAGTAATGGTGTTGTTTGTCAATCTGAAATTGAGCCTGCTATTGCATTAGTTGCTGTGTTTTCAGTAGAGTTGTGATGCCTGAGCAATCAAACTTCTAACAAATAAAAATAACTCACTGGACGTTTTGAAAGACAATTACTGCAAGTTCCTAGATCTTAAAAAAAAAAAGCAAACCGACCTGGTTTGTCCAGAGAACTAAAGACGGAATAGTTAAAAAAATCTAATTTTATGTTATGAAAAAGTCCAGTGCTGAGTTATGATAGCAGAACTGAAGGGTGGCATGTTCGCAATAATTTATAATTATTCGTTCATTACATAATACAGCAACGTATATATTTGTTCGGTTCATAAAAACCCTTCAATTCAACAAACATCACTACCCGTTTCCATAGAGCCCAGACTCCAGCCTGAGCGAAATAACAACCGTGACGTCCAACATGATCACGAGTATATTCGGGATAGTCACGAAAACACAATGCACAAGCTAGAATCTAACCTCCACGTTTACTAGTTTTCTGATTATATGACCTATGGCGTCACACACAGAACTCCGCATAAAGCTCAATGTTGCACGTAGGCGTTTCTTGAAATCTTTCTAATTACTCCGGTATGCGTTGCCTCCGCCTAGGAATGATATCAGGAAGAGAGTATAAAGTTGTTCCCGCACCAGGGGATTCGCGCTACTTGAAATGATTTATTATAAAAAATATAAAAAAAAGAATGGATTCAACCAATTGTCCAATTCATAGGCGTAAAACAAACTTTATTGAAAGGTACCCGCGCAGGTTTTTGTGGCATCGCAGCTACACTTAAAATACAGGTTACAAATACACGGCAAAATATAAAAAGAAATAAAATTAAAAGAAGCTGCAAAGTTCTGAAAAAAATCATCAAATAAAAGAAACGTGAAGAATTTGATGAATGTTAGTAAAAGTGTGGTAATTTTTTTTTCTTATTACGACTTGAACAGCACGCCGGAGGGAGCATACAAGCTACAACATTATGCGATGATTAGGATTGATGCACGCGCCTTTAAGCGAGGTGATTCGAACAACATTTATTGTCAACTGCATACGTTCTACGCCTATGCGCGAATTCAAAGTTGGTCCCTGAGATCACAAATTAATCATGGCTGTTTCCAAGAATGTGAAACTCGATTACCTGGACGTGTACTATATACGGACACAAAAAGAACAAGAAAAGATTGCCAGTTGTCAGAACTTTAGTCAACTCAGCTATACGACCAGTGTGGAAAGGGCGTTAGCACTGGCCGCGGGAACTTTTATAACGCGCCGCGACGCTCATTACCAGTCATTTCGAAGTGTAGCAGCGGAGCTGCTCTCTGCCATAAATCTGAACCATGGTCGCATCAAAACGCGGTCAGTGCCCGTTAGATGTCCCGGTTTCTGCCACAGGGAGCGTATGTGCTGTAAAACGCGTGTGAGCGGCTATTACCTTCCTCTCAGATTCGTGGTTTGGTTCCCTTTCACCGTAAGTGAGGGCAGAGCCAAAGCTACAATACATACAAATACAGAAAAACATACAAAAAGAAAAATGTCACTATTCACTGCCGTTTATTGACTTGGTCGATGATAACACACGAACATAGAGAAAGATGGCAATCGCCGTGACGTTGCGCGCTTGTTTCTTCTTGATTGGCTCAATTTGCTTGTACCATCGGATGCGCTCTGGCTAAACTAAGCATAGTACGCATGTAGAGGGATGAAATATCGTGAGATATCGCGAGATATTGTGAGCTTAACTATTATTAAGTGAGACGCTGTTTTGCGGCGGGCACGTGTACTAGACTGACGCTATGACTTCAGTGGCGAAAGGGGACTAGGGTGGCGCTATAGCCTCCAATATATATAATAAATATTTCGCCGGATACTTGCAGAGTGATGTTTCATTTTGAAGCAGTGTAGCGGAGCAAACGACCGATGTCGAAGCAAAAATTATGACAGGATAAATAAGTCATTTCTTTTTGTTATGAAGCAAGAACGTAAGATACGAGTATTTAGGGTGAAAATCTGGCGATTACAATATTTTACCAACAACAACATTCCATTTAGGAAGCAAAAACCAAGCTCCAGTAAAACTCTGTCAGAGACAAAACGAAATAAAAAGAAAGACTGAGCAGACCATATAAGATCACTCCTTTTTCGAGAATAGCAAATAGAAATTTGATAAAGAAACTTGGTCAGATAGGTGCCCAGTTGATTTATGGGCTCAAAAATTAGTTCAATTTTGAATAAGGCGAGTACGGTATAGATATCATTAGGATGGCGGTTGTTTGTTTAATTGTTTATTTATTTCGGACCCGAGATAATACAGTTATTCACATGCTGAGGCAGAAAACGATAGTAGAAGTCGTCTAACTGTGACCCTAGCGCCAGAGTACGCTTGCAACACACACCAAGGGTCAGCACATGTTTGCGCGAAAAGAAAAATGAGGACATGCGCACATAGAGCAGCAAAAGAACTGCAAATAGAATAACAAAATATTGTACAACCAATGGGATTCATCCGATGGAAATGCTTTAGCATTTGTTCTTTTCACCCCTTTTTCGTCCCTTTCCATTCGTTTAGGACCCCTTGCCATTCCTTTATCAATGCCTTTCCTCTTCGCATTCCGCTGCACGCTTCCGTCGCCCTGCCTTTACGGCAGCAGCCAAACGACGCTTCCGCTCTTCCTCTGTCTTGGCCTGACGTCACCGACGCGTGGCCACGGCTTTCTAGCGTCGTCGCTCTTGGATACATTCACCCATGTCACTCGTGGAAAGAACCACATCCATCGCCGGAGCGGTCACTGGGCTGGGTCTCATTCCAGAGTGGAGAGGCGCCTGCTCGTCTCTGGCTTTGCGCCAGCTGTGCGACGTTCGTATTGGTCCGAAGCGTTGACGTCAGCACGCGTCACCCTCTCCCTCCCGCCCCGTCGCTATGGTGAGACATTATATCTTAATCACGATACCTCTCCACCATCCTACTGTCCTAGCGACATCATGCATGGTGTTGACAAACGGGTGCATGGACCGACACCGATAGATATTGTCAGGAATGGCAATCGATGATGCGACGAAAACTTAAACAACCTGAACGTTTAATGGGGCGAACTTGTGCCCAAAATAAAAAGGGAACAGAAGATAACAATAGAGCGTCGCAGGCGTCGATGGCGGCGTAAAAGAAGGATCGAACGAACGCTGGTGCGAAACTGACTTTGGCTCGCCACGCGAAGCCCCTCATGTATACGAGTGGGCTTCTGGAATAATCGGCGTAGATGGTTCGACGCGTAGCACATTCGGACCTAGGATAAACAGCAATGTTCTCGAATTCACCAGAGCATTAAACTGAAAGAATAAGTAAAGACGAGTAAGTCCCAGGAATCGAACCCTGGCTCTTCGCGTAGGAGCCAGGGTTCGATTTGCGTACGGTCACCGGTTTGAGTGCGGAACCCCGTCTGCGTACATAAACCCGTTTGCGTTCGGGCGCCCATTCGCGTACGGACACCGCTTGCGTACGGGCACTCTTTTGCGTACGGGCGCCGAATTGCGTACGGGCACCCGATTGCGTTCGGACGCCCGTTTGCGTACGGGCACCGGTTTGCTTATGAGCATCCGTTTGGGGACGGGCACCCGTTTGAGGACGGGCACCCGTTTGGGGACGGACACCCGCTTGCGTACGGGCACCCGCCTGCGTTCGGGCACCCTTTTGCGTACGGGCACCCTTTTGCGTAGGGGCACCCGTTTGCGTACGGGCGCCCGATTGCGTTCGGGTGCCCGTTTACGTACGGGCACCCGTTTGCGTACGAGCACCCGTTTAATATAGGTATTAGATCGATAAGGGTGCCTGTTTGTTGTGATGCCCTTTTGAAAAACATCCAGGCTACCGTGGAAAATCCTTCTTTCCTATTGGTACCGCCTAAAATTGGTCCACCAAGCACGCGCAAATAACGAGTCGGTGCTGTTTTTTTCAGTCGACAAATTTATTAAGATTGCTCGCTTATGAAAGTACACTGAAGGGGTTCACACTTTTTGAACTTGAAGAGCCTAACAAGCAAAAATAGGCGGGAAGCTGAAATAGTGTCACGGGTGGTGACCAAAAAAACAGGAAATAAAAAGGAAGAAATAAACGTTTAATGTGGCGAACTTGTGCCAAAAATAAAAGGGTACAAAAGATAATAACAGAGCGTCGCGGGCGTCGAAGTCGGCGAAACAGCAGAGTCGAGCGCTGGGGCGAAACTGAATCCTGCTTGCCAGGCGCAGCCGCTTTTGTACACGCGTTGGCTTCTGGAGCATTCAATGTAGAAGGTTCGACGCGTAGAACATTCTAACCTCTAATCAGCTACACGGTTCTCGAATTCACCAGAACATCACATTACAGTGTAAACAAAAATGCGTAGCCGCGGCCAGCAATCGAACCCTGGCCCTTCGCGTGGGAGGCAAGCGCGATACCCTTAGGCTACGGCCGCGCTTTTTTTTTTTTTTTTTTTTTTTTTTTTTTTTTATTGCATGGGAATAGAGGACGAGAGGACACATCGTAGGTTACATAGGCAAACATTATGATCTAGAACACTTTGATATTCATTAAGCTGGAGAGCAAAGGCAACCAGTCGGGCAGAATTTCGCGACACTCGTATATACTTTTGATTTGGGCTACACACTGAGTAAAATAAAAACTCACAGGTTTTGGTGCCTGAATGGCGTTTCTTACATCCATCCGAGATTTCCAAATACTATATAAACCCAAGAGCATAATGAGATCATACGGCACAGTGTCTTCCGAAGAAACAGGGAGGAAACGTATTGAATGCGGTAAAATGTTAAAGTCTTTTTTCAACGTGCGCTGCAGGACATCCCAGAAGAAAATTGCGTCCCAGCAATCAATAAAAACATGTTCTGTAGTTTCTGGTGTTTTGCACAGTAGACAATTCACTGTCC